ACAGAATCTTACCTTGTAGCTCCGACTGGCCTTGAACTCAGTGTGTAGCTCTACTGGGCCCCATCTCACAGCAATCCTCTTGCCTCAGCCTCCAAGTGCTGGGATTACAGGCATGTACAACTATGCCTGGTATATATAGTTTCTACAGATGAGTTTGAGGTAAATAGACCTTTTCTGGGTTTCAGACAACAACAGTGTCAGGATCACTGTGTCTTTAGGGTCCTGAAATACACATGTTCACCTGCTACCTGCCATCCTATGAGAAGAGGAATGCTCCAGTCCTTTGGGAAAAAAATCATATGAAATTGCAGATTCTAACTTAAAGTAGTATAGCTTTTCAGACAGGTTTTATATAAAGAATGGGCTGTCATTCATTATTTCACTGAGAACAGGGTAAAGGCCAGAACTATAAAATTACTGAGGAGAAAAGTTGATTGGCATAGATAAATAGTAATAATTTTTAAACTCACTACTAAATTTTATGACTTAAAATTATTTACATGTTAACCAATAAATACTTAAAATTATACATTTGATACTAGACTATTCAAGGGGCTGGGGAGATGGCTCAATAGAATAAGCACTTCCCTGGCACGCGCAAAGGCCTGAGTTCAATCCCCGGTTCCACACCAAAAAAAAAAACCCTAAGACTTATCAATAAAAAATATAATTAGGCCTTTGGTAGCTGTTCTTGCCTAGTATTCTTACCTCTATACTCATACTCTAATCTTCATCTTAATTTTGTTTTCTCAAACTGAACATAAAAGTTCTTGGTCTTTAGGTATGTATGAATAGTAGAGCAACTGCCTATTGCTGGCCATTTGAAGCTATAAGAGGCAAAGAATTAGCTGACTGTATACATGAATGCTTAATTACTTTTAAGTGTAAGATTTTATAAGGTAGAAAAAGACAAAACGTGTGCTTGTCCTATTGCTGGTACGTGGTTTCAAACATTCACAGAAGGCAGCCAGGTGCTTGCAATGCCTAACAAAGTCATGGACATATATATTCTAATATCCTGGCATAAAGTATGGAAGGTATTCAGAATTAATGAAGCAAAATGAAATAGTTGTAAAAGTTTAGTCAAGTTCTGGGTTGGCCAGAATAATCCATTTTCCTTTTGATGTGCATCCATTAAACTAAATCACTCACCTTCTCTGTGTTGTTGATGATATGGCATAGTGAACATAAGATGTGGTCAGCAGTGCTTTAGGAATAGGTAATGTATCTGCCTACCTAAATCTGTATTTTTCTTTTGTTTTCTATTTCTAGTACAATTACAGCTTGGGGAAAAGACCATGAAAAAGACGCTTTTGAACATATAGTAACACAGTTTTCATCAGTGCCTGTATCTGTGGTTAGCGATAGCTATGACATTTATAATGCATGTGAGAAAATATGGGGTGAAGATCTAAGACATTTAATACTGTCCAGAAGTACAGAGGCACCACTGATAATCAGACCTGATTCTGGAAATCCTCTTGATACTGTATTAAAGGTAAATTTTAATGTATAACTTAATTATTAAAATATTTATAGAGCAAGTGTATTAACACTACTCTCAGTTTCGTTTATACACACACTGGATCAGAGCTTTCTAGAATAATCTTATTTTTTAGAATTACCTTCCAGGGAAAATAATAGATTTGCCCAAGGTCACACAATAATAGCAGAGAAAGGATACAAAAAAATCACAAGATGTTTATAAACTTTTCAAACAAAGAATTAAAGACTACTGAATGTGTACTTTGTTTCCTCCATACCTCGAAAGTAATAGCATCATTTTAATCCTGTGGTTGAATCACCAAGGTTATTATGATTTATCTATTTTCTTTAAGTCATTATTGTACCTTCAAAATTGTTAGTACAGAAAAACATGTTCAGGATTATATGAAAAAATAATTCAAAAATACTTCTCAAGTAGTGGTTCTTTAGAAGCTGTTGAGTCTTTGGTTTTTTATTGTTGTTGTTGTTGTTTTTCTTGGGTTTTTTTGTGTGTGTGTGTGTGTGTGTGTGTGTGTGTGTGTGTGTTTTAGGGAAGGGTCTACAGGGAAGGGTCTAGATGGGACTGGTAGTGATCCGCCTGTTTCCAGCCTCCCAAGAACTGGGATTATAGGCCCATGCCACCATACCCAGTCTCAGTTGCTGTCTCAGCCCACCCCAGGGGCGGGGCCAGCACTCAGGCCTGGGGATTGAACCCCCAGCCCCTGTGCCAGCCCCTTGTGCCGCCTTACAGGCACTTTAATCTGCTGAGCTATTGGGCCAGCCCTTTGTTTTAAGTATTACAACTGCTATATAACTTTAATGAATGAATGAGCAGGCTGGTTTGTATATTATACAGCTTGACGTAATAGGAAGGGAAAACTTGAGCAACATAATTTCTAGCTTTGTCAGTGTCCTGGAAGTTTTTAAGTGAATTTACTTTAGTTTTTATTTGAATCAGGCATAAGCAGAATAAATTCAAGTCAAAAGTACTGTCAGGACTTTAAATCATATTTTAAAATGTTGTTCTAAAATAAGATTAAGTATTTTTCAATCTTTGTAATTTCAGATATGCAAAGGAAAAAAATTGTTTTAAGTCAGTTTATGGTATAAATTGACTTACTATAGATAGTATACCTGTCTCTAATATGGTTAAAAGGAATTGAAACTAAATTTTTTATGGTCTTACACATAGTATTATATAATTTTTAAGTAATTGAAAAATAGAATTAATTTTATACTTACATGATTGTTTAACAAAGTAAAACTTAATTTTTAGAAAGCTTCCCTGTTTTTCAGTTTCAGTTATTTGTGTTGCATGTGTTTTTTTATTGTAGGTTTTGGATATTTTAGGTAAAAAGTTTCCTGTTACTGAGAATTCAAAAGGCTACAAGTTGCTGCCACCTTATCTTAGAGTTATTCAAGGGGATGGAGTAGATATTAATACTTTACAAGAGGTATGTGGCTTACTACATTAATTAAGCACTTTTTATTCATTTAATAAACAATACACTAATCTAATAGATTTGTGGGAGTTATTTTAAGTGTCTGTGGTGGTCCATTTAGAAGTACTGTCCAGGTGTGGTTGTGCACACCTGTAATCCCAGCACTCAGGAGCCTGAGGCAGAGGAGGATCACTGTGAATTCAAGGCCATTCTGGGCTACAAAGTGAGTTCCAGGCCGACCTGAACTGCTTAATGAAACCCTGTCTCAAAAATATGATTTAAAAAACAGGGCTGTAGGGGCCGGGGAGATGGCTCAGTAGAATAAGCGATTCCCTGGAAAGCGGAAGGGCCTGAGTTCAATCCCTGGTTCCGGAAAAAAAAAAAAAAAAAAAAGATGTGACAGTTTTAGCCAAAGTGCACTTGTTCCTCATTGAATACCTTGGATAATGATTCTAAAGTTGTCTCATTAAGGACCACAGTGTCAGTTGAGAAATATTTCCGTAATATAAAACAAAAAGTTATGACTACTAACATAGATCCAAATTAAAATTTGGTTATATTAATGGGTGCTTTTTCAGAAATTATAAAATGGTTTGTCATGTTTTCTAAATTAAGTATTGACCGTTACCAGTAATGTTGTTAGATTTAGCCAGATAGCATATTATACAATCTTAACTTTTGCCTCTTTTGTCTAGAAGTAATCTTTTTAAGAGCTA